AGCATGTGCTGCTTCTCCCTCGCCGCGACGCCACGGGAAACTGGTTGAATTCAGATAAATATATACTTCGCCCATGTTGTATTTAAGCACAGCGATGTATAAAATGCATAGTTATCATAGTAGAACACAATACATGAGTTTACTGTACTTTCACGGCTCATGTTTTATTACAATTATTAAATCGAATCGGATCGAATCGGATCGAAATATCAAAAAAAAAAATATCAATAATCGAATCGAAATAATTTGATACCAATGACAGTCCTAATAATAATAGTAATAATAAGGATGAATTAGAATGGTAAGAACAAAGCTCTTTGTTCTTAGGGGCCGCACGTGGGTCGGTGGGTCAGGGGGCGTGGCTAACGACCCTGGCCAGCCAATAGGAGTGCGCGTGCGTTCACACGCCTGACCAGCGGTCACTCGAGATGCGTCGACCAATGGGAGCGTGTTGGCTAAAACAATGACGACGGCATCACTATTTAAAGTGCAGTCCATGAAATTACCGGCGCTACTAGTTTGCAATCGAGGCACCATACATCTCCAGATCTGTACTTTGGCCTAGCAGCACACACCATGCGGTGGTTGTTGTTAAAGGCCAAGAAAGGAACGACCTGTATAAAGAGTCGTTTTCAAATGTTTGGCGGGCAATAAACAATCTATATGAGAGTGGGTCTGTTGTTGTAGATGATAAAGGTTTTCACTTGGAAGTTTTTCTGGCCGCAGACTATAAATTCCTGTTGCTTGTCCTAGGTATGAGTGGGGCAACATCCAACTTTGCTTGCATTTATTGCAAAATTCACCGTGATGATCGCTGGGACATGTCAAAACCTCATAATTTTTACAACACTGATACAACAATGATTCGTTCCCCTGAAGACATGCAGTCATGTTATTTGTCTGGAACAATGTCTGGAACAATGCCAATCCAAAATGTGATTGTTGACGAGCTTCATCTTCTGTTGAGGATCACTGACAGACTGACTGAAAACTTGATCGAAGACTGCCTAGAACTAGATCTTTTAGAGAGATATGGTAGCTTTACAAAAGCACTAACAATTCCTCAGTCTCATGTAAATCGCTGAGTTGAAACCATTCGATCCTGTGGTTGTAAGCTTCAAAATCTGCGAATCTAAATTGGCAAATGGCAAAGGTTCTGGACACTTTGATTGGGTGTCTTCCCAATTCGCCATTTTCCAATTTCGCCATTTCCCATTTCGCCAGTTTCCCATTTCGCCATTTTCCCATTTCCCCACTTCGCCAGTTTCCCATTTCGCCAATATCTTATGTTGCTTCCACCCCCTGCACGAAATTGATCCTTCCATTCTTAAAAAAGAGTCATTTCTAGGGTTAGGGTTAGGGTTAGGGTTAGGGTTAGGGTGCCTGTACATGATCCATATGTTTTGATATGTACGATTTCGC